ATTTTGACCAATAATGCACTCTAATGTTTCTCCTTCAAATATGGTTCCATTCATGTTCAGTCTTAAATGCATTAGTATGTAGGTAGCTTGATAAGGACATTTTCATAGGCGGAGAGAGGGGTTATGGTTATGACCATTATTAAATTTGTTAAAACCATTAATAATTATTCAATTTTTATTTTAATTTGATTATTAAGATAAAATATCTTACAAATTGTTTAAAAAAATTATAAACTAATAAAATTATAAATAAATTGGTGGTTTTAACAATTTAATTAATGGTAATAATATAACTCAGAGATAAGATAAAACACATCATGCTATATTATTAAATTTATGTTGTAAAAGCAATGCTTAAGTAGTGTTGAGACAATGACATGCAATTGCTCCTTCTCCCAAAAGTTTCTTCCAAATTCTTTGCCCATTAGTTTAGTCATAAAAAGAAAATTGAACAATCCCTTTCTTGTGCTACCGTTTTGGAATATGAGCGTGGGATGGATAAAGGGAATAAGAGAGAAGACTCTTATTTATGTTTTTAATCATTTTGTACAGCATGCTACTATCAAAGCTTTCGTAGCTCAGTTGGTTAGAGCACCCGTTTAGTAAGCGGGAGGTCTTGAGTTCGACTCTCAACGAAAGCAATATTTTCATTTTTACCTTTCCTACCTTCTGGTGGTTCCTGCTTTCTCTGCAATTTTTGCTTTCGCAATGGCCTCAAGAAGGCTAACCAGGTCTGCCTTGGCAGCCATTAGAGCATCTTGGATATCTCACCATCACGCTCGCGCAACTCCGAGCAATTCCGTCTTCAATTCTCTATTCCGGCCTCCAATTCTCGACCGAATTGCAGAGAACAATGCCATACCTCACTCAAATGCTCTATCTCGCGGCTTACAGTCTTCCGCTCCTTGTTTTTCTACCGCAAGTAGTGCTTCCCAGGTTGATAATGCGCATGTTGGACTTATATACGTATCATGTATGCGCGTTTACCGAAAGTCTCAAATTTAGATTTCTGTTAAAATAAAATAATCGTATTCCTTTTACTACCTTTGCTGGATCAGTTTTTGTTTATTTCAAGTTTGGTGGATTGATTTGTGTTATGTACTTTCATCTAAGATCATTTTCAGGCTTTTTGTATTTTGTATCAATATGGGTGATAATGTTCTGTCAGGTACCAGATTTAGTGAATGGATATCAAATTTAGTTATTCTCCCAGTTTGCGATGCAAGGGGACGTATGGAGTCAGTTTGAAATGATCTCAGTAAAGAGGATTAGGCTTAAATTTGAGGCCGGACAGCTTCTGAGATATGGTGGATACTCATAGGCTTAAAATGAATGCTCCTAGTTCATACTCTTGTTATTGTTAATTGTTTAGCAGTTAAAGCAAGATTGTTGCCTATTCTTATTTTATCCTGTTGTTCTTGATTTTTTTGGGTTCTTATTAGAACCATCACTCGGAGTACAGTGAGATGGCATGGGAGGGCATGCATAAATGCTGCGGTTGAGGCAGCATTGATGAACAGACAACAAATTGTGGAATCTGAACATTTGATGAAAGCCCTTTTGGAGCGAAAGGATGGGTTGACCTGAAGAATATTCACAAAGGCAGGGCTTGACAACACTACAGTTCTGCAGGCAACAGATGCCTTTATATCACTGCAGCCTAAAGTATGGATCTTGTTGGCATCCTGCTCTTGTTCATGGAAGATTATTTGGATATATGACCAGTTATTTTGTCATTTTAGGTCACTGGTGACACCAGTGGCCCTAGATTAGGGTCACATCTAAGCATTCTCGTGGACAATGCTTGAAAGCATAAGGAAGAAATGGGGGATGATTTTGTCTCAGTAGAGCATCTCATCCTAGCATTTCTTTATGATAAAGAGGTTTGGGGAGCAATTATATATTCAAGAATCTCCACCTCTGTGAAAAGGCTTTGAAGGATGCTGTCAAAGCTGTTCGTGGAAGTCAGCGAGTAACTGATCAAAGTATAAGTTTAACCTATCAATTATCAAATGTTTATGCATCAAATGTGGTATCACTTTATGGTAAAAGTAAAAAGGCCTCATTGGTTAAGAAACCAATGCAATATATTGAACAAAAACTTTGTTCGGGGAGCTTTGTGTCAATTAAATTTGTCAACTGGAAATCCATGTTTAATCCGCGTTTTTTTGAACCATTCCACCATCCGTGCTAAATTCTGCTGCTTTTGGAAGTCAGAGCACTTATCCTGTTTTAAATCTTTAGCCAATTTTGACTATCCTTGTCCTGCCTTTAGTCTTAGTCTTTAGCACTACATATACTATTAAAATAGTCAAGGCACTACTTATCTTAGTGCTGAAACAATATAACGTTGGGGGAAATCACTAGTGCCAAATATTGGATTTGATAGCTGGTTATCTCTTTAATACAAGGAATGCTCTTGTTAGAAATGATGTGAGTGAGTAAATTGAAAAGCATACAGTCTCGTGCTTAGTTGGGGCCCCACCAGGTTATGTTGGATATGAAGAAGGGGCGCAGCTCACTGAAGTAGTTCGTCGAAGACCATATATTCTGTGGTACTCTTCGATGAAATTGAGAAGGCACATCATGATGCATTTAATATTCTGCTAAGTTGTTGGATAATGGGAAGGATAACTGATTCTCAAGGATAAACCTGTCAGCTGTACAAATTGTGTTGTTGTTATGACTTCGAATATTGGTTCCCACTATATACTTGTAGTTGTAACTCTTCATGATACACATTACACAAGATGGCAAGGAGACTGTTTATGAAGTGATGAAAAGACAAGTCGTTTAGTTGGCCACACAGACTTCCGTACATAATTTATGAATTGTATTTAGGAGTATATTACTATATTGTTTTCCAGCCTCCGGACTCCAAAGAAATCAGTAAAGTTGTTGAGATACAGGTGAGTAATATTTTGCAAAAAGTGGCTTTACCTAGTATTTATTTTTTCACTTATAAAGGCATATCAGATCTGCTAGCAATCTGTAAAATTGTTCATCAGGCTACTAGTTAATTTTTTTTCTCTGGAATATGAGATATATCATATATAATATACCATTTGATAAGCATATAAGCAAATCCTTCCACTCATAGGATTTCAAGTACCTTAGTTTTCAATTTCTTTTCTTTGGTGTCACTGCTTATAAGGAAAATTCATAAGTCTTGTGGATGTAATCAACTCTAGATTGATTTGCCATACCAGTACGTACATGGTGAAACTTAGTTTTTTCTTATTCATGAGGAGGCTAGCAAAGGAACAGATGCAGTGGGTGTTTGAACAACTCAACCATTTTGAAGGCTGATGACAATTAACTTCTATCTCTGAAGACATTAATAAATATTTTTTCCCTAATTTTGAAATAGTAAAAGAAGGCTGTTAATTAATTTGAGCTTACTTAATTGTCTTATTCCGGATGAACCGGGGAAAAGACAGGCTGAAACCAAAGAAAATTGATCTTCACTTCACAAAGGAGGGTGTTGAACTTCTGGGGAGTTTGGATTTTGATCCCAACTTTGGAGCAAGGCCAATGAAGAGGGTAATCCAGCAAAAGGTTCAGAATGAAATTGCCATGGGAGTCTTGAGAGCAGATTTTAAGGAGGAAGATTCACTTATTGTTGATGCTGAGACATCCCCTTCAGCTAAAAGTACCTTCCTCCCCACAACAGATTGTACACCAAGAAATTAGAGAGCATTTCTCCATCAGATGCAATGGTAGCAAGTAACTGATGTTACATTTTCCAGTTGTCACTCGTAAGTTGAAAACAGCAGTTTTTTATTGTGATTGATCCAGCTTCAATTTTTGGTGGAGATAAAAGATCCTTTCACAAGTTGGATGAAACAAGTACTAAATCTTAAAATTTCAGTTTCATTTAAAAAAAATAAGAGTTTAATTATATATTTTATAATTATTAATCAAGT